AAGCTGAGTTCCTCCCCAAGAATTGCCTTCAGATAAATAGTTTTGGGCATGGTAACACCCTTCCCCATACTTCTACCCTAGTAGCTTGCATCCTGTGACTAGTTGATGGCAGGGAGAACATAAAGTCTCCTTTGCCTCATTTTGGGATAACTCTAAAGGACAGTCTCAGCTGCATAGCTCCCCATGGGATTGACTAAGTCCTTTGCTATGGCGACATCACAGTTCAACTTCTTTTTCCAATCCTGTTCCCTCACTCCAACCCAGATATTGTACCATTGTGTGGTCTCAACAGTGTGCTGGTAAATATTTAACAGCTGGCTCTCCAAATCCTTAATTTGTAGTGTTTGCCACTTTCCATGGTGTAAATATTTCCAGTACGGCCAATTTTAAGCTATCAATGTGATGTCATTGAATACAGAATTGGGAAGAGATGAGCACAATTGGTTCTCATGACATATTGCAAGCCAGTGCCAGACACCATTGCCAATTTTCCTCAATAGAATTCTTAAATGCAAATCTCTACTTCAGTTGTTTTTTAGGATAACCCAAACTAAATCAACACAAAACCACCAATTATTTTTAATATCAATTTTGGTGATTTGTTTATTAAAGAGACTGACATTTCACAGGGAGCATGAAATTAGTCACCTCAAACTTTTCAGTGAAGCACATACACACATGCATACACACACTACAACACTGTAAGACAGTGTCCCACAATAATTGCTTAGAAACATTTAAAATATAGACTCCTTTTAATTTCTAAACATTGCACAATTGCATAGGGTGTTCTGAGAAAACAGACTTCAAATACGTTTTTCTCACTGAGACCAGGATGAATTGCCAAGAAATCACCAAATAAGTTGAAGAAGCATTTGTTATCATTGCTGAAAACAAAAAATATATATATTTAAGAATTAAAGTTTCATCGTCAGAGCTTTTAAGTCAGAGTAAACCACTTATATTTGTTACCACTGAAGAAAAATACAGAAGAGCATTGCATATTTGAAGAACTGTTAAGACTTTCACCCTATGCAAGAGTTATTGTTGGAATAAATAAATAATCAGAGATTAAAGATTTTTTAAGGGGTAGAAAAGATTAAACAATCACCTTCTTAATAAACCTCATTCTACATGACATATATATTATTATCTTATCAGCTCAAAGGGAGCTAGGTCCCTTCTGATGTGCTCAGGAAGCATACCACTTGGATTACAGTTGCTCTCACAAATGTATATTCAACATAGGCTCTTGGACAGAGATGAGTCTTTTATCAGGTACACGAGAAAGTAATAAATTGTCTCAGAACTCTTGGTTCTTGATGAAGGGAGAGTAACCTCCTCTGCTTCCCATGACAGATGGCTAAGTAATTAGTTTTCTATTGTAAGCTAGACACCAGATTTTTTATAAATGTAATAATAAAAAAAATCCTGCTCATGAAGACACCCCCCTAGAGCCTTAAAACTCAAATCGTGGGTGTGAAGATCACAGACATTCAGAATGGAAGGGGATCTTATTGCCTGCTGCACCTTATGGAAGTCCCAGATGTTCGCTGCCCTCTTTGTCTCCTGTTTCTTTTACAGGACTGAAGACATTCATGCATTTTGGACAGTTAATTGGGGTCAATTTCATTTAAATGCACATTTTCAAGAGAAAAGACTTACTTGTCTTCCTTTTCTTTGCACATTTACACAACATATGTTATCTTTGCATAACTAATGCTCTACCAGTTTATTGAGAATAATTGGAATTTACTTATCAAAATCAGTCATTGGATAGGGCACCTGCATTTTCAGAACCCACTTTCTCTCTTCTTCCGCTAATGGTACTTAAAAACATTCATGAGGAACTTTATAGTACTTAAAAATGTGCATGATCCACTCTTAAACTGTTATACTTACTGGGGGTTATAATTTCCCCATCAAAACTTTCCATGCAGATCACCTTTATCTTTTAATAAGCCTTAAATATCAAGGCATATTGCTCCACCCAATACGGGTGCTTAGGGCTGCATTTCTATCTCAATGCACAGCATGAAAGCTTGGGTCCATCTGTGTCACACAAAGTCAAACCTCTCTTGAAGTGATTTGTTTATAGTGTCATTTGATGGAGTGGAATGTTCTGTAACTCATTCAAATTGTTACAGAAGCTTTGCTAAAAGGTCACCACTGCTCTTTAGAGTTTCCAAATCTGGGCACCATCTGGGAGCTTGTTAAAGATAAGGTTTTCCTCTGGCTTTTTCCATACCAACTAGATCCAGTTAGCAAAGGGGTACTATTCCAGGGAAGTTTGTGTTCACATCAAGTGAGAGAGAGAGAGACAGAGAGAGAAAGAGAGAGAGAGAGAGAAAGGAAGAGATATAAAAACAGAGAAAGACAGAGAGACATAGAGAGAGAGACAGAAACAGAGGGAGAGACAGAGAGACAGAGACAGAGAGAGAGAAGGGAGAGAGAGAGATGGGAGGAGAGAGATACAGAGACGGACAGACAGAACTGAAGTAAGTTATAGTTAATTGCCAATAGTGTGCAAGCCCACTTTGCACTAAAATGAAGTGCATGTGCAGATGACAGTACTATTTAATGTTAATAGGCATATATGGGGGTGTCAGTCTTGAAAAAGTTGAGTAGAATTTGATTTTCCATGTTGTTTTTGAATCAATACATTTTTTCAGGTGTAGTCTTGGGAGTCAACTCGAGGAAATTGAATCACCATTTATTTAAAATTCAATAGGAAAATGACAATTCATTCCTTAAAGTCATAAAGTTTATGCATGCTGAACATTCGTTCCATAGGGTACTGAAAATATTCAAGTTGTTATAACTTTATGGTTTTAGTCTAGGCCAAAAATTGGCTTGTGCTTGCTTTCTATCCCCTTTATGAAACGAAAGTCTTAAATTTTCCAAACCTCAAAAGCTCAGCTGTAAAACTGTATGAGACCAGCAAGAGGAAAAGGAAAGTTTCCTTCAAAGATGTCTCTAGTTGCTGCTGGCCAATTCTGCTCTCTCCCTTGAAACACTAACTATGGCTTGTGACACTTGTCCTTGGAAAAAGTCCAAATGTGGTAAATGGTAGAAGCAACATGTCTTTACACTCCTGCCTGGAACTTCTCATGATACCGGGTTCTAGCAGGTGTTTTCATGCATGCAACAAGAAGGTCGGCTACTGCCCACCACTCTTACCCATGTCTGCAGATGAAATAAAAATCAAAACCCTGAATTAAAAATCAAAACCCTTTCATTTGGTTGGAAATCCTGAAAGAGTCTGAACCAAAGAGGCTGCATGGTAGCAACTAAAACACAGGCTCCTTGCTATTAAAAATATTCTAAGAAGTGTGTGTTTATGCATGTATATCCGTAAGGGGATACTTGGGAGAGGAGAGCTTAAAATCTAAAATCATATTTTTGTCTCTGCAGTCCTGAATTGGAGATGTTAAATTAAACTGATTCAGAAACCAAAATTATCCTTAGAAAGGGAGAGAAATCCATTTATATTCCTTTTGAGGCAAGAAAAGAGGTCTTTCTGGCAAAGTCTTTAGGTTCCATTCAGGATCAGGAAATTTAATCGTCAAGTTCAAAACTCGTTTCATCATAGAGTTCAGGGCGCGCTGACTTCCTGTGCCGGGAATATTTCAGTTGCAGGAGATCGCCCATCTCATCCAAGGCTTCCAAAACCTGGAAAGAGATTGCCTTCCATCAGTTATCTTTGAATTTGTTAAGTGTCTCTGCTCTCCTGTACAGAGAGCCACAGCCTTCTTTTGCCAGATTCTTTGATTTTAAAGAAAAAGAGAAAGATCCAAATCATAAACCAGTGCTAGAGAGATGCTAGTGCTAATCTAAATGTTTAACTTATTTTTGGTGTATAAGGAGAAGAATAAAAGCATCTGACCCATGCTTACCCTTTAGCTTTATTTTAAAATTTAATGACTTATAGATAGCCTTGAAGAAGAAACAGATAAGATTGTGGATTACATTTGGGTTATGTCTTCATGACACAGCAAATCAACCTGGCTAAGAGCGAAATAAAACATTGTGGGAGAGGATTAGCATCCTCCTCTCTCTCTCATGCCTGCTCCCCCACACCTGCCTCACCCCTCTTCCCTCCCTCAGTTTTAAATACTCATCTCTGTGTTCTATAGAATAATAGATTTTAAAACCACAAGGGACCAAGAACTCATCTGTTTTAATTCTCTTAATTCAGGCAGGTAACTGTATGCCCAATTTTAGAAATGAAACAACTGAGATCAAGAATGTACAAAGTGTAATTTTTACTTCTAGTATATCACTAATCTTATGGTATTGGGCATAATTTTTTGACCTCTTTTTCTGAACTGTCAAATGAAGAGGAAGACAACATTAAAGTCTAAAGCTTTGAAAAAGGTGAAGTGAGAGTTGTTAACATTTGAGTGAATGACTAATGCGTAATGACCCTTTCAGTCATTCCCACTTTTATATATAATAACTCATTCATATATAATTGGTGAACTTAAATAATTTCATATATAATATTCATTTCCACCTTCGTGTTCCTGCAGTTGTCTATATTTCTTTTCCCAGATGAATTTATTCTGCTTGGTATTTTCATTAGTTACTTACTTATTAATATCCCCTTTTAGACTTTTACCCCAGGGTTTTGCATACAGGAGACACTCAATAGTGTTGGATAAATTGTATTGACATTATGAGAAATTTCCATCAACCTCGAACTAATTGAGATGGCTTAATTCTCTGAGAATACTCATTCACATAAAGATTAAATCAAAGGACAATGAAATGTGGTTTTAAAGTCATTTACACCTTATGTAAATGGCTGATAGGATAGATCTGTCTTTGTTTTTGGTTTTGCCAACATATTGCCTATGTTGGTCATATTTTTTTATGACTATAAAAAGTGGCTATCAAAAATGTCAGTATGCAGGCAGTTGATCATGAAATAAAATATTAAATTGGCTTTGCATGTAAGAGCTAGTAAATAGAACAATATTTGGCTACTCAGTCAGTATTTTCTATGAAATCAAAACACTGACTTGATTCAAGTCTTGACTAAACTGATTTTTTTTGTATCTACTGACTTGATCACATTGTTGGGCAGTGTTGCATACTTTTGTTTTTTAGCAGTGAGGTTTTTCAAATTAATTAATTAATTATTTTGGTTAGACATCTATACTGTTCATAAATGATTCCCCCAATTGCTCCCTCCCTCTCCTGGCCCTCCACTTAGCCATCATATTAATGCTAACTGCATTCCCTGTGCTGTGCTCTCCATCCTCATGCCCAACTATCAACTACTAATTTGTACTTTAATCCTTCACCCCATTCTCCCACCTCCTCAACCTCCCTCTCCTCTGTCTGTCATCAAATTGTCCACTATATTTGTGAGTCTGTTTTTGATTAGTTTGTTCTTTTTGTTCCTTAGATTCCACATATAAGTGAAATCATATGGTATTTATCTTTCTCTGTCTGACTTATTTCACTCAGCATAATAACCTCTAGGTCAATTCATGTCGTTGCAAATGGTAGGATTTCATTTTTTTTTTTTTTTTGTGGCTGAGTAATATTCCATTATATATATGCCTCATAATTTCTTTATCCAATCATTTGCTGATGGGCATTCAGGTTGCTTCCATATCTTGGCTATTGTAAATTGTGCTGCTGTGAATATTGGAGTGCATAGATCTTTATGAATTATTGTTTTGATATTCTTTGGATAAATACCCAGAAGTGCAATTGCTGGGTCAAAAGGTATATCCATTGTTATTTTTTTGAGAAACCTCCGTATTGTTTTCCATAGCAGCTGTACCAATATGCAATCCCACCAACAATGTATGAGGGTTCCCTTTTCACCACATCCTTGCCAACACTTGCTGTTTTTTGATTTATTGATGATAGCCATTCTAGCAGTGAGTTTTATCGGTGTTGTTTTCATAAACCTCCCGAGAAAAACCCGGAGAAACCCAAGCCATCTCAATAAAAAAATGTACCAGAACTGGAGATTCCACTGGCCTGTGCTGTACTCACTGTGTCTAACATCTCCCGGGTATGTGCTGCTGAAAGACAGAATCGTGCCCGAGCTTCTGCGAGGGGAGTAGCTGGAAATCCAACTACAACTACCCCAATTTTTCTGTTTAATAGATGCCTTGCAAAAGCCCTAAAGACAAAAAAGAAGGTTAACTGAGAGATGACAAAATTATGCTGCAAAGAAAGGAATATGGCTACTTGACTTTTTTTATAACGATAAGTAGAAAATGATTAAAATTATTAAATTTCTGTCAAATACAGTGGACAAGGAAAAGAGGCAGTCAGTCACCTGATGGCACCTATAAATGAGTGCTTATATTATGGGGCCTGGCATATTCATTAAACAATTTCAAGTACTGAGTCTTTGACATTTAAGCAGAAAATGCAATGTACATGGCCCTGGCTTAACAAGTTTGCATTGATGTTAAATCTTTTGTCTGCAGGGTTCCTACAAATAAAAACCAAACAGCTAGCACAATGCAATTACATAAAGAAAGACTATATATCAAATTCAAATCTATATGTCTTTAAAACTTAATACCAATAATATAGTGTGGAAATTTTAAGAAGCCTATATTTAGTGACTATAATTTGAGGACCGGGATCAGAGAGTTTGTAAGAGCCAACCCCAAGCCATATTCTCACTCCAGAGCCAAAGATTTTATTATCCATCAAACTAGAGCTAGAGAATAGCAAGGGTCTCCTCATTTTTTTATGTGAATGAACACACCCAGATATGTTCAGGGATAATAAATCCATTGACTGTTTGAAAGGGGAATGGGGCAGGAGGGATAAAGGAAACAAATGTGCAGATACATGGAGGCTGGCAGGTAGATGCAGCCTGTGGGATATAGTCATATAACTACAAAGTTCTTTAATGCAGGGTAAGTCTTTGTAAACTATGATTCTTATTTCTTAACAGCTTCTAGCCACTTTTTGTTTTAGAGCTAATCTCAGTAACAATTCTAGAATATCAAACTTTTAAAGTCTGTAAATTTCTTGTGCCAAGAGCCAATGTCAGACGAAAAGATGTGCCCCCAAGTGAACCTTTCTTCCTTGTGATCTGTTGCTCTCTCCAGGAAACTTTAATTACTGAGTGTCTCTGCCCATAAGTGAGGTAAATGCCTCAGATCTGTTCTTAGCATTAAGAGGTTGCTGGTTTCTTATTTTAGGCCGGAAGCTGACAGCACCACAAAAAACTTCCAGTCATAACTCGGGAAGAATTCTTGAACCAGACGTGGAGAGCAAGCCAGCTTGTTTATTCATTCCTCTCACCCTTTAGCTGTCTGCCTTTTGGTTGCGTCATGCAGAACACAGGTTATCGAATGAAGTGATGGAGATCGCCAAGACCTTCCGAACCCACAGCCTTTCCGGCCCCCTGGCTTGAGTAAGGCAAGATTCACCCTTTGATTTGTACTGGGAATGCTACAAGGAGGTAAAGCTTTCTAATCGAGAAAGCTTGAAAACAGAGGTTGTTCTTTCTCTTTCTTGATCACCCTATGGAAGGCTGCCCACGGAACTACACAGGATGAGAGCTCATAATTGTCTGAGAAACAAGGCAAGTGCTTTTATGGCTAGAGTACAAACCACCTGACCCATGATCTTAGGCCAGTCATTGGGACTCCCAAAGGAGTGTTTTCACTGTCTGCGTGTTTCTCTTTGTACCAGAGGAAGTGAGTTTTGCCAAAGAATGTAGAGGAAAATATATGACTGTTGATTCATTAAGCTAATCTGAGGCCTCCCTGGAGCACTTTTGAGCTTAAAACTTACACTACTAAACCTAGCCTCCTTCAGTTAATGCATATAATTGCCCTGAACATTTTATATAATGAGTCTCTGGGTTTGTACTACCCAAAGGAAATTAGAACTGGCATAGGCTGAAAGAAACTAAACTACATGAATAATAATAACAATAATAATAAATATTAGCACTGTGTTGCATACAGCATTATTGCATCTTGTGTCCCATCATCTTCTGAGTGTATGAGAGGACCATGAAAAGAAAATATAAGCCCTGTACCAAATAGTAAATACAATATATTCTTGACGATTAAATGCATATTTTATGTTTGAAAACACATTATACCAAACTTTATAGAAGATTACAGTGGTAGAGTTGCAACAGGACTCTTTTTCAAAAGTTGAACTGGCTAGAGATTATATTATCATTCTGCGGGAGGTGGAAATGTGGAGAAATCACATTTCTCTAATAAAATCAAAAATTTTTAAATGAGAAAGTAAAATAAGTGCTCATACTCCGGCTTATATAATTAACTCCCTGACTTAAAAGCTTCTTTACACATCAACTTTTCATTGAAGAAATATCAGAGAAAGAAATAAGGCCAGTTGTCAGGGCAGCTCCTGCCAACAATAGATGATATGACCTTTTGTAACTAACCTGCTCTAAATTTCGTTAGACAACACAAACAATCACATTTTTTTTTCCATTGTAGTGATTGATGCCTTTGAATTCATCAAAGATGACATTAAAGAGAAGAGGGTTAAACTTAAACCCTATGTTGCTTTAATGAGATGTGTATTTTTCCCCCTATGGACTAAAGCTTGAGAGGCTGTGCTGAGCACTAAAAGAGCTCTGGTTTAGGAGGTAAATGGAACTGGCTTTGAATTCTGGCTCTATTACCTATAATCTGAGTGACTCTTAGAAAGTTGTTTAACTTTTGTGAGTCGTGGTGTCCTCATTTGTAAGCTAGGGCAAAGCATCCTACCCTCAATGGATGATCACTGGGTCTAAGAGCCTTAAGTATCATATAATCAGCATTCAGCAATGTTAGCTGAACCTTAAAAAAGTCTTAAATTGGAAGGCACTAGTTTGACATATCCTCCAGTGTCCAAAATAGCATAATTGATGCAGAGTATAATAGGATCTTTACTTATTATTTCCCTGGAAGCTCTATTTTCACTAATGTAACTAAAGATTGCAATAATTATTTTGGAGAGCCATGCAACCCCGGTGACTCAGTCTTGCACTTTGTTGAAAATAATAATAATCATGATGGAGGTAGAAGTAGTAGCAATAATAATGACTACTACTAATTGAGTGCTTATAATACAACAAATACTATATAGTCCTTTATACACATTATTAATACTATTAGTAATAACAGCTAACATTGCATATGTCCTATATAGGAGGCAACATATCGAATATTGGTAGACCTCATCTTGTCTAATCTTCATAATGACCTTGTCAATTAATCGCTATTATATACCATTTTTAAAATAAGAAAACTGGGGTGTCAGAAGGTTGGGTAACTTGTCAAATATCTCCAGCTAGGAAGAGGCAGAGTCAAAATTCTTTTTCATTCCAAACATCTCACTACACTGTAAAGCATGACTTTCACATGAAGTTCCCTCTCAGTTCTATTTTTATTTTTCACCTTAGCTGGGCTCCTGGCACATAAGGGAGCAGAGGAACTCCTGCTTTCATTCTGTTATTGTACAGTTGAATTCTTGAATTTAAATGCTTTAGTTTTTACTCTTCATGGACTCTTCTCATTGGATTGATTCATTTTACCAATCTTTTGAGATTCTAATTCCAGCTTACATTATTAAGGTCAGAAATATCCAGTACACCCCCTATTGCTACCCACCAGTGCTGTATACCTCACTCATAAAAATAAAACAAGTTGATATTTGGTGTCTTTATATGAGCCAATGATAAAATATTAGACTGACATGAGCTAAGTATGGAGTCTTTCTTCCAGAACACACTATTTGCCCAAGTACTTTGAATAAATGTAGGCTTTCTTTTGTGCCTTCCAAAATCAGATAGTAAAGAGTTTAGGGTTATCTGCTACTTTGAACCACCATTGTCATCCCTTTTTGCCATTAGCACAGAGCAAAATCCAATGTGATGTTTTCGTATTACATTGTCTTCTTGGCCATTCTAGGCATTAACCTCCTGACTCAAATTTGTGAACAAAGTTCTGAGTGGCAGTGAAGCTGTGGCACAATAAACAACTCACATGTGTGTTTTAACTGCTTGTGGTTTTGCTGTGGTGAAATGACACAAGAGCGTACTTTGAAGAATCAGTCTTGTGGGAACTTATAACTCGCTTTTACCCATCATGAGTCCTCAACTAATAGCCCTGGAACCTCTTTTCTATACCTCCAATACTCTGCCAGACTACTCAGACTGTTAGAGAGCCAAACAGAAAGTTCCAACAATGGGTTTATGTTGAAAGAGAGTCAGGATCTTTAGAATCTGATAAATATATGTTGAATATTACTTTCCACCATGCACTTGGTCAGGAACACAAATAAATATTTTATGTTTAGAAAAGACTTTAACTTCTTTTTAATTATGGAAGTAATTAGTCTCTAGCAGGTTGGAGAATGACTCATATCCAAAATTGTCTATGACATACTGAAAAAAGTCACTTTTTTCTCTTTATGCAGTTACTACAAATGCTCAATTTCAGAGTTGTGATCAGTTGTAAACAATCCCAAATAAGCTCACAGGACAGACACTAAAATTTGGTGTTAGGGGCATGAGCTTTGGGGCAAGCCTAAGTTTGAGTTGGCCTCTTGGTTTACTACTGCTTGACAAGTATGAGTTTGAGCAAGCTGTTTAATTGCTCTCAGCCTCAGTTTCTCCACCCTTAAAGTGAAGTTGCCTTCTTCTGAGGACGGCCAGAAGAGTTTAATGGGAGAAAGCACAGAGCCTAGTAATGTTGATTTTAAATGTTGGGAGAAATAGTCTTCAGAAATTCTCTATGAGAAAGATCTTAGGGCAAGAGGAAGCACAGGACCATTCTTACTTTGCATTTGAGGCTTAGAGTAGTGACTCCTCTAAATTCACAAAGCTAGAAAATGGTGGGCCTTAGCACCTGGTTACCTTCTTATAAGACCTGTAAAAAGGCCTGGCTGATGGGCTGGCAGGGGCTTCTGGGAAGTTGAATTCTGAACTTGGCACTCTGTTCAAAGTGCACGATCAATGTCTGTGCTGAAAGAGCCTCATAGTGTCAAGAGCACCATCTTAGTCAGATCACCTGGGGGCTCAGGTGTTATTCTGAGAGTCCATTGGATACTCACGCTACTTTACTAGGCATGTAAAGAAGCACAGGAATAACGGGAGATTCCTCATTGCCATAGACAATGAATCCCATGTCATTCAGTCTCTGTCGGAAGTATCTTGTGTTTTTTGCAAGTTGCCGTACTCTCTGCAACCCTGAAAAAAGACAGGCATGAAATCCGTCAATTCCCACCGGGAAGAGTGGGCAAAGGTCATATTGATTTGGCAAGCATTTCTAAGTCTTTGTGCAGGCCTGCATCATTAGCTGGGAGGGTGTGGCAGTAGAATGAGGAAAAATCTCCTGGTGAGCAGGTGTGGGTACTGATGCCTGGGAACTGCTCTGAGTCTGGAAGGCAGGACCCAAGGGGGATGGTGCTGCCAGGTACAGACAGCAACTAAAGGCAGGCTAGGCAACAGGACCAAAATGAGGTGGGGGAAGGGGAAGGTGTCTAGCAAAAAGGAATGAGATGGACTACCATTTACTAGGTGCCTGTTGTATATGAACTCTGCATTAATTGCTTTAAAAACATGTCAGTTGTTGGTAGAAGCTTTTTAGCAAGCTGAGCTGGTTCATTAAATTGCTCCTCATCTAAGTCCTAATTAAAGAACATGTCATCCAATCTGAATTTGAAAGAGTAGCTAGCATATCCCCAGACAAGATAGGCCCAACTGAGACTAGGACTATTTAGTGAGGTGTTTAATGGTGGTAGAGTAGTAGAAGGAAGGGAAGAGAGGGACCTCTACTTTCCCTAAGCAGAAAAAAATGACAGGGTTGACCCCAAATAGAAGGTCAAACCAAGGTACATGTGTCCATTTCTAGGTTATTGGCACTTCAGCTCAAAACCTTATCCTCCATCCTCAGCATGTGTCCTGGTGGTGATGCTACACATGCGAGATGAAAAATGGAATTAAAGAGCACAAAGAGTTCTGAATACATCTGCCTTTTCCAGTTCTACCTCTAATCAGAGAAGTAAGGAAATTAGCCACAACTAGAGAGTGTTTGCTCACTAAGGAAAGTTGAATAAGATTGGGTATTTAAGTCTCCTTGAAATAAATCCAATGTTTGCATTTGATACAAAGTTACTATTCAGTAGGAATGCACTGACCTCCATTCTGATTGATCAGGTATCCAAACTGATTAGAGCTCTCGATCTACCAGTTATTCAATATTTTGAGCATCATTCCTCACTGTCTGCAACTCCCCAGATGGAAAATGAGTAAAAAATCCAGTAAACATGTTCTCTAGTTCCTTTTTGGAGAAATGGCCCCAGATTGTGCCTTGACAATGGGTTAGGAAATGGCACCTCCTCTTCAGCATCCTTCCTCCAGGAGACCATGATGTTCAGGCAGAGTTCACCCAGCTTTTCCTCTTTGCTATGAGGATAGCATGTGATGAACACCTAGCTAATTGGAATACTCCATCCCCCTGATTATTGGTTCAGTGATGGAACACAACCTAGGTCTATCAGTCTTTTAGATCTACTGAGAAAGAAGTGTAAGAATGAAGTCATTCTCAAGCTACATCTTTGTCACCATAGGGAGAAAACCTGCTTGAGCATGATGTTGACCTAGAAGAAAGCCAAGGCACAAGACAGCATGAGTCCTGATGGCATCATTGGAACTCTTGTGTCTAGCCATGTCTAAGTGAGTCCATCCTTTGGACTAGCCCTATTGTGTGAACCAATACATTTCTTCTTCTTACTTAAGTTACTTTGAGTTGAATCTCTATAACCTATAACCAAACATGTCCTAGTAATACAAGTGGTCACTAATTGAATGAAGTTAACTCTAAAGGATAATAATAATATAAACGATAATAACAATTGTAGCTCACAAATATGTAATGTCTGTCACCACTAACTTGACATTTAATGATTTCTTTAGTTCTCATAACTACTGTGTTAATGTAGATGTTGTAATCTCATTTTATACATGAGAAGGAGCCAAATAATTTACCCAAGCTCACACTGTTTGTAGGTAGCAGAGCCAGAATTTGAGCTCAGGTAATTGGGTTCTAGATTCTGTGTTGTTAACCCCTATATTACTGTGCTCTTCCCAATAGTAGCAATAGATGATGTCTGCCCAGATAATGGATGGTGGCCATCTCTCCTCCTCAATAAAATTTACCTTTGCCAGCTGTTAGGATCATTGTTATACCAATTTTTTCTAGTAGAGGCAATTGAGAGTTGAAGACTTAGCAAGCTTTAGACAGACTCATGTTGTGAAAGATAGGGTGAGAAATCAAAGACCAGAATCTGGAGCCTGCCACAGAGAGAGACTAGTGATCCCCTTCACTTTGGGTGAGGAACCTGAAAAGCTATTCCTGAGAAGTAAGGCTGAACCAGATGTAGACAGCCATCCAAAGGGCACTTTCTTTATCAAACATCTGACATTTTAAACTAGGCTCTATCACTCTCAAAATATTTCAGATATCTTTTGAGATTTTTTCTTTGCTCATCAGGCTCCAAACTGCTTGACTCCTGTGACATTATAAATGTATTAACAATATATGCCAAAAGATGGAGATTCAGTTGAGTGGAACCAATCAAGGAGGAAGATGTCGAATGCTCCAATTGTCTCTACTTCTTTTCTGTTATTACCTTTCACCTAATCCAAGTTCTCAAGGAAGATTCCTCCCAAAGTCTGCAAGCTCTGAGAAAGCAGGTTGTGATAGAAAAAGCATATGGCTTATTGTACTTATTGACCTCTTACTCCTACCATGCTGGCCATAGCTAATAAATGCAGGACACCTTGACTCAAAGGCAGTCCATTTGGGTGTTGACCGAGGAGCCATGAATTGATCTATCACAGGAACTTTGCCAAAGAGAAATAAGTATGAATTAAACCAAACCAATAAGATCCTCTTACTGGTAAAGTGTGAGTGTGAAAAATTTAGAGGGAACCAACAATTAGTGGTAAGACTAGATATTGTGAGTCATAGAGAGAAAAACCTACTGTCAGAATCTATAAGACAGAGGAAGCCATTGGTCAGTAGAAGCTATGGTAACCCACGAAGAAGAGAAGTAGGCAAGTCAGTCAATAAAAACAGAAAGAGATGAAATAAAAAGAGGGAAAAGCATATAGTTCAGTGGAGGAGACAAATATTAACCATAATCACATGAATGGATGTAAAATTGCAACTCTAATGAGTGTTATAAATAACGCAATTTGGTGTTATGAGAGGCCATATTAAATTGGATGGAGGAAGTCAATAAATGATAGTGAGCTGAGAACTGAATGACAAACAAATGTTAATCTGGCAGGGAAAAAAAAAAAACAACAGAAAAGAGTGTTCCAGGCACAGGGAATAGAACAGGTGCAACACTCGTGTGGTTTGTAGAACAGAGTGGTCGAGAACCAGGCAAGATGTGTTTGAGTGTGGGGCATGATGAAGCTGAAAGGATGGGTAGATTGGGGGAAAAAAGTACAGGGATTGAAGAGTCCAACATTTAATGGTTGGGAAGAGGAGGAGGAACTTAAAAGGAGACTAACAGCAATTGGAGAGGGAGCAGATAAATCAGAAGACAAAATAGTATTAATTGAATTTATCAACATGGCTGTTATTGATAACCTTTACTTTCAGGTCCCTTGTTGGGACTTGGTTTTTTAAAAAAACAAGTAGTTGCAAGTATGATTTACTTTAATTTATATGTGCTTTTATTTTCACATACATTTTCTTCTTTTTCAAAAAAAAAAAAAAGATAAGCCTTCTCCCTCAAATTGCAGATTTGCAACACGAATCCAAGAAAGGGATTTAGAGAGATATAGAACCCTTTGTATAATTTTTTTTTTTTTTTGCATAGATTCAGCCTCCTTGGTGCTTTAAGAAAATTTGTTTTGTAACACGCCAAAGCATTCCTTAGAAACTAGCGTGTATACAGAGAGCCGCCTATATGAAAGACAGAACTAGAAATTAGGAAGGAGAATACTTGTCTTTATTTTCCAAAAAAAAAATTCATACATACATTGAAACTGAGTGTTTAGGGAGATGAGGACATGAGTAGGGGGAGTTGGACAGGGAAATAAAAGAGAAGAGGGGAGGGATAAGACTTGTTTTAAAGAAGGTGATTGAAATATACATCCCAGCCACCAAAATGTATTCCATATGGCCTATCCTCCTGTGTGTTTAGCTTTTTTTGTTGATTGTTAGTTTCACAATGAATAGATGAGTTCATTAGGCTGGGTCTGATGAATCCTAAATGATCTCCGTCAAAGACTAGAAGGATTTCCTGGCCTGGAAGTGCATGATGACTTAAATTGCTTTTTCCCAGTGGCATTATCTTTGCACTTGCCCCTAATGATTCATCTATCATTGGGCTGCCTCGCTACTTAATTGGCCCCGTCTGTCCCCTCTGCCTTGATTAACCCAAGTAACTGAATCATTAGCTAAAGTCATCACTTTACTGCTTCGAGATCCTTTGGAGAGTTGACTGAACAGATCAGAATATCAATCCTAGGGGTAGCTGACTCTTAAGAACTGAATGTTTTATTCTCACCCTGTCTTCCTTATCTTTGAACCATTTAGCACAGCATGGATTACAAGCCATTATGACACACTTTGTGGTCACCATGTTTTCTCATATGGGTCACTATAAATGCCTTTGAGGTCTTTTGAGTTGGCCAACATACAGCTACTTTCAATTACTCCATTGCTCACTCCTTAAAATTAGAAACATTCTCCTACTCCTAGAGGGCCTGGGGGCAGAGGAATTTGTACATATAAAATGCTACTCATCTAGACAGGATGTGGGTGATTTTATTAATTATGTTGTGCTTTGAGATCCTTGCTTGAAGAGGGTTTTGTAAAGGTAGAAGGAATTTTTAGCACTTGTCCTTTCAAGGAGGGATAGCCATTCCAGGTGGTATTGAAACTGGGCATTGCAGCCACATTGTCTTTGCAACACAGAAAGTCCATCATAATTTCTGATCTTTCTTCCATCTATTCCACAGAAGACAAGGAAGGTCCCTGTGCAGATAAATAAGTAAATGACTGATCTCTTAAATAGGGATCTGGAGAGTTTATCCAAGTGTTTATTTTGCTATATTCTGGGTCTCCTGGGGAGGCTGTTGAGTGGAAAAGAATAGGCTTTGGAGTTAAATGGACTGGGAATCAAACTCTACCTAGACAACCTAAGATCTTAAAACCTCAGTTTTAC